AAAAGAAAAAATCGGAAAAGAAATAGTGAATCAATAGAAACTGGCAACTACCATTAGGTGTGATGTTATTCTGGGGTCCACGATGTATTAAATTAACCCACCCTCCCCTGTAATAAGCTCATCTGTTGGAGGTTTCCAAAAAGTAACCAATTTACCCTGTAATATTTAGAGAATTTGGGGTTTCAATAAAACTGTTCTACAGGCTAAGGCCTCAGAAAGAAGACAACGGAAAACAACGATCCTGAGATTCACAAGGCCAACGAATTCCCCTGCACTGAAAAAAAGAAAAAGAAAAAAACCCAAGCACATTTGCACACTAAAGCGGAAATAAGGATGGGGTGGGGGAGGTGGGGGAGAATCACTATCCCACCTCCCAACTTTCATATTCATCAGAAAACCAGAAATGGAGGAAGAAAGAGCTTGGGAAAAAAAAGCAAAACAAATGTGTACATTCCATCGGACGAATTGCATGGGACACAAAGCGGAGGGCTAATTAGTCTCAGCAGGTAGGACTAACCTTCAGACTTCATAAATAAATAAGACAGCACAGTGTCTAAGAGGGGGAGCAGAGACAGAAAAGGGAATATTTCAAGACACCAAGTAAAAACATGAAGCATGAAATGCAGCTTAGTCTTGAATCCTTGTACAGATGGCTGAGCAGTCCCCCTTCCTGGGTCTTTCCACTGGATGCCTTTAGATTACACTTCTAGCCCAACGTCTAGCTGTTGGGCTAGATGTGTAATCTAGCTAGCAGCCTTACACGCTTGCTAATTGCCACCTGAATACATCTTGTATCCAAGTTGGTCTCTGTATAGTATAGACTTTACCAAGGTCTGTTTCAGGGCTTGTTGACGTAAATGAGAACACTTTTATAGTAACTCCGTTTTGTAATCAATTCTTAGTCCTAAAGGATGGGTATGGATCCTGTTTGTATTTTTACTCTAACCCTGATCTTAATCAAGTTGAATAACGGGGTCTTCTGTGTTCCTTATGGGTCTGGTTGTACGATAAAAGCTTATAAGTATACTAAATCAAAATGTTAAAGCACTGTTGTCTTGAACTTCCTGCATTTTATCGTGTGTGACTAGGACGCTGAGGGCTTTCTTTAGTGGTCAATGCCATCATCTACTTTGACATAACCTTGTTTTTTTTCATTCAAAGGGAACCTTTGAATCTTCCCTTAAATCTCCAACTTAATTAAGCAGTTAAAAGTTATTCCTTGACAGCCCATAGGCCACATTTAATTTCATTGTTTGGTGCGATGAAAAGGCCCAGGGAGAGAAAGCAGCAAGTTCTCACTGACTTCCAGTCCCTGTTGTGGCCTGTGGTGGTACCCAGATAGGTAAGGGAGGGGGACAGGGCAAGTAATGCCACTGCAGGAAGCAATATATATATGTGTGTGTGTATATATATATATATATGATATATGATATATGTATATATATATATCATATGTATACTATATTTATAATATATATGTACAACAAAAAGCCAGTTTGGCCCACCATGAGGACCTGCAGTTTATAGATTTGGCAAGAACTCTTTCTGGTTGGCTCATGTCCAAGTGTTGAGGTACCTTCTCTTTACGCCATGATCACTCTTAATTTAAATGACTGAATTCTTACCAAATGGCAAAGATGCAAGAGAGATACTAGACTGGTCCTAATGTTGGATTGAGACTTCCAAGGCGTTTGGACATCCTTGTCTTTGCATGTGGGAATGGGCAAAATGGATGGAAAGGCCATTCTCTCATCTTTTGGAGCCCCTTCCTGGGCCATCCCAGGTCCCCAAGTTCCAGGCTGTTCTGCACCCTCACTCTCTCCTCTTTACCCTTGCTCCTGGCTTCTTGGTCTTGCCTATGATCTTTCTTCCATTGACTCTCTCCTAGGGGGTTTGTGATAATGTTGGCATCTATATACCGTCTTAAAATTTAGATGACTAAGCTAGCCAGACTCAAGTCTGTGATCTTAGCCCTCAGGAAGCAGAAGACTGATATTCACAGTAAATGATAGAACGGCCAGGTTTGCATACGAAGTATGCTACATAAATAAGTAAATAGGCTGCCTGGGAGTTGGGTGTGTGTGGTTCCTAACTGTGAATGTGGAAAGATGGCTGCTGGTATATCAGTCACCCTCTAGGCACAGGGAAGTGGTGGGGGTGTGGTCACTGAAATACAAGAACTGCAGTAGTAGATTGACCACAAGCCATGTAACCTGTGGCCTCTGTCCTGCATCACCTGGGGGTGAGGAGGGGCAACGAGGTATGGATATTTTCTGGTGTGCTTTTTAACATTCAAAGTAGCCCATGAGTCTATAGTTTTTTCCTACACTGGAGTATTTACCAAAGATTCATAGCACCCCAGCAAAGAAGATAAACCATGCTAAGAGGCTGGCTTTGCCTCTGGGAATCCATAAATATTCCCAGACTTACACCTTCTGGAAGCAGGGACTCCATGCTTGTGGCAACAACACTCAGCTCCTCCAATCCTCGGCAAGAGTCTATTCAAGTACACTTGACATCAGCATGAGACATTCATGAGACCTGTGCATGTATACTTGTGTGTAGGCATATGAGTTTGTGTATGCTTGTGCACTTGTGCGTATGCATATGTATGTAGACTTGTGTGTATGCGTGTGCATTTGTGTGCATGTACACTTGTGTGTTCACATATGTGTTTGCATGTGTTTCTGTTCTCCTGTGATTTCCCTTTACAGATTCAGCCTCCAAGATGGGTGATCTGTCACCCACTGAGTTAGACATATCTTAGCAGGGAGTGTGCTGACGGAGGGAAGAAAAAAAAATCATCTGAAAACAGAAGGAAGCTATAAAATGGGGGAATGTTTAGAAGCCAAAGTCCTAATTCCACCGAGAGATTTTTCTGTTTGCTTTCTGTCCTGTGTGTGATGAGCATTTATTTGGATGTTTGGAGTAAAGAAAGCTCCTCCCTTAGCCAACACAGGAACAGACACCTGGGCTTGGGTGTAGCTCAGTTGGTAGAGTGCTTGCCTAGCACACTGGGAGACCTGAGTTCAACCCTCATCACTGCATCAATCAGAAGTGGAGGTTCATGCCTGTAACCCCAGTGTCCAGGGGCGGGGGGTGGGGGGCAGTGAAAGACCCAAAGTTCTAAGGTCATGTTGTGCTAAATAGTTTGAGATCAGTCTGAGATGCATGAGACCTTACCTATAAGAGATAGATAGATAGATAGTTGGATAGATAGATAGATAGATAGATGATAGATAGACGGATAGATGGATGGTGGATGGGTAAATTCTAGAATAGATTAGCCAAACCTAACAACCTGAGTTCAAACTCCAGAACCTACAGGTTGGATGGAGAAACCAACTCCTATAAGTTACCCTCTGACTTCCACATATGCATCATGTCACAAGAGTGCCAACACACACACACACACACACATACACACACACACACACACACACACAAGCAAACAAATATTTTTAAATGTTTAAAGAATCATCAAAGACACCCAGGGATTTTCAGCTCTGGCAGGAGGAATTGTAGGCAACACACAGCAGACAGGTGTGCTTTTCTTCTGGAAAGGCCGCACCCTCCCCTTGAAACCCGAAGGACAGGCTCCTGTTCTACCCTTCTCCAAAGCACCTGACCTGTTCACCTTTCTTCAGCTAAAAACCCATTAAGGTAATAAAGGGGCGACAGTGACACAACCTAGGGGCTAGTGGGTATGCGTACAT